TTCCATCTTACTGAGCAGTTGCTTAAGTGAATGTCTGTCAATTTTGAGAGCATGCAGACAAGTTTGAATGGCAAACATATCATAGAGATACTGTTAGTGCCTTCCTTCCTTCCTTCCTTCCTTCCTTCCTTCCTTCCTTCCTTCCTTCCTTCCTTCCTTCATCATGAATACTGATGATTTGCAACTTAAAATAAAGCAAGTAAATAGCCCACTATGGAACTCCATGGAACAATAAAACCCATTCATCCTGCTGCCTTGTAGTTTGTCTTTTTTAGCTATCTGCAATGATCTTAAGCATGTTATTAGAGCTACTGATCCTGCTCGGTTTCAATCTTCATATGGAGACCAGGAACTGGAAAAACTTTCATGTTCTTCATGACCACCATGAATTTGTCTCAAAAAATGGATATTGAAATTAAAGCTTAGTGGGTGCACATGAGCATTCCGAAGAGCAGGAATTTAACTTAAGTTTTATAACTAAAACAGGAGACTTATTTAGAGGAAACACATTATAGGGATCAGCAAAGCTTAGCCCCTAGCTAATCACATCCTCCCACAGGGAGAGGAAAATCAAAGAATGTTGTCCCATTGCATCCATGAAGAATAGGCCAGCATTGGGTTTCTTAACTACCTGGTATGAGGTATTTGCTTTACAAAGGTGATAGAAGGGAGAGTTAAACAAAACATTGGGTCTTCCACTAAGAACAATTTGCTTCTGTTGATGAATTCATTTGGACTCCAAGATTGGGACAGATCATAGGGATGTAGCCTCAGCAACAACTTCAGCTTGAAATGTGGTCAGCATAAGATGGCAGCTGTCAACTTTTCCTTCTCTTCCAAGCTATTGGGTGAAATCGGACTAACGTTACGCTTAAGGGAAGTAACTGGTGCCTTCTTGTGGGTGGAATATAGTCTGTTCTGTACAAGGAACCCATCTATCTGACAGGCAGAAGAAACCCTGTCTTGGCTTCTTCCAAACTATGGAAAACTCCCTTAGGAGTTGTGCTTGGCCCTCACTTCCTCAGCCTTTAAAAAACGATTAATCTGGCTTCTAATAGTTAATATCATTTTAGAGTCCACCTTGCATATTATCTTTTGTTTTGTGTTCTGGAATATTGTTAAGAGAGTTGAGTGCTCGTTTACTTATTTAGAGAACAATAAATTAAGTAAAAATACCTATTAAATATTTATTGCAAATATACTGTCAAGATTCATAACATATCCAAAACCTTAATGTAGCAAGATTTATTTTACCATTATCAAATTACATATATTGTTTTCACTGCATGGGGAATATATTATGTAAACATGATTATCTTGGAGTCACTTTAATAAATATCTTGAATATAGCATTATTGGATATTGGGAGGAGAACTAGCTCATTAGATATTCCCACCTTAAGGCTGGAATTGCATTCTTCTAATAAATATCAGGTAAATGTATTTCTTTTTTTAAAAAAAAATGAAGGAAATAGTTACAATGCATGAGTCAATTCTTTATTTTGCTAATAATTATTATTCCTTCTGTACTCCTCTCAAACAGATGGTGCTTCCAGACTAGACTTTTCTTATGCAGTTATGGGATTTTTTTATAGGCCGTCCAGATGCATTGCATCCTTTCTTCCATTGTTTACATTTTCACCAAAAACAAAAGTATAAGGAGGAAAGGAGGGGAAAGTTGTACAGGGCATTGGGTTGGTAGCACCTGGATCTCCCTGCCTAAAACCAGCCTTAGATATTAGTAAAAACATTTTCTCATGCTAAGGGGGAAAGAATCTATGACACAACTGAGTCACAAGATACACTGGAAAATTTGATTTCACAAATCAAAAGTCTTTCCTCATCATTATGGTTTGTTGTACAGGCAACCAGATGTTTTATCCATCTATTGAGTTCTTCCCAAGGATTTAGGATTGGCCGATGATGATGATGATGGCATCGTTTCAGGCTGTAAACTGTTCTAAATAATCCTGTCTTTTGCAATTGACCAATGGTAATTTTATCAATGCCATTCAAGTGTGTTACAGTTGTTTTGGGATTGCATCCAAGGTGCCTATTACTATTGGTTCTACCTTTGCTTAATAGGAGACATGGGTTGCAATTCCAAAACAACTGGAGCATCACTTCAACATGTAATCATAATTGCCAATTCTTTAGTTGGCATTGGCCTTCATACACATCAAGTTCTTGTCATATATATCAGCATAGTATACGTGTGGATCCCTAGTGGGACCACTGTGGCTGGTTTATGCCATAATCTTTCAACTTTGATTTTCAGATCAAAGTTGTGGTCTTCTATTCTACTATCCCCAAGATAACATCAATTATCCACAATTTCTTCTGTTCAACCACAGTTAAATCTGATGTTTTATGACCCAAGACCTTATTTGTAATTGGAAATTATTAATAATTGTTTACATAATTTTAGAATCAGAGCAACCTATTTTATACATTATAATTAAATTTTAAATTAGAAGTAAAATAAATCAAAAGTTGTTGCCCGTACAATTTCCTGCCATTGGTAGTTATTCTGTCCACCCTCTGCATTATCACCCACTACTAAGGAGAGAACAAGTTTTACATTCACAGTGAAATCACATCACATGAATTATTTCCTCAAGCCACTTTGCTGGAAGAGGATCATTAAAAAGGATTATGGATCCTACTGTTAAAGAGAAGAATCCCTTGTCTGAAGGGTTCAGGTTCCATTTCTGTTTTAAATAAAAGATCCACAAGAAGGTGATCTGGGGCCTTCAAGTTGCCCATCAATAGTACCATCTGGATAACAGATTGAGCAGGCACACAGGCTACCCAAACATTGTCTTCCCAATATGATGATATGCATGATTGTATTTCTATTTATAAGACAGCAATTACTAAATTTGCATACATGCACACTTACACAAGCTTGCTTTATACAATTTTGTTTTCTTTTGTCCTCCTTCTTGGTGTGTTTTTTTTTTTCTGTTTGCCTTTGGTTGATAGATGTGCCTTAGAATATTTGATGCCTGTATCTGTGTCACCCATGCTCACCGCCAAAGCATGGAAAATTCACATTTTTAAATATCTTACAAATCAGATGGATCATGGCCAGTTGATCTTTTCAAACTGTGCAACTGGGACTGTGGATTTTCCCATCATATTGTACTAGCAAAGTACTGTCTTTGAGGAATGGCTGTGATGATTTATAGTCCACATTTGCTTACCCAGAAACAAGATATTCCTTTTACCGCTCTCAAATGCAAGGGAGAGACACCTGTGGAAGAGATTACCATCTTGAATGACACTGAAAAAGAAAAAAAGCCTTTCTGCTTTATCAGAGCTTTAGTAAGGCTTGGCTTGGCTTTGCCTACTGCTTACCAGCTCTGTCAGAGAGAAAAAGACAGACTTTTGACACCTATAATCTCTATCCAAAAGGTAAGAATCAACCAAGAGATTTGCATCTGGGTTGGGCTGCCTTTGGACTGTGCATCTGGATTTCTTCTGAAGTTCACAAGAGACGTGGAAGTCATTAAGGGGGTAAAATTCATTTCAAGGATCAAGTAGATATACGAATTAATAACACTGTGAAATCTGCACTGGCTGTGCCCTTGCCCAATTTTGTACAGAAATATATAACGAACAAATTCTGTCACTCCAGAATTCCAAGGGAGTAATTAACTAATGGAAAACAATCTGGAACAATAGAAATCAAAAACTTCTGTCCATATTTCTATATTTGTAGGTAACAAATTACGTAAAACCAAGCTTGATTCAAGTAGAATCAGATTGAACCAATAACAGATGCTGCTTCAGCCTATTATTTAATTATTCTAAGCACTTTGTTCACTTTTTAAAAAAACTCTAAACAGTATTCTCCTCTTTTTCCTTCTCTGTCCTATACAAAATGTTTGCCCTACAATAAAACAAGGTCTGAAATATAGTGCCCAGGAAAAGAAGCCCCGTTGCAGCCTTCATAAATCACATTCATCCATAGCCAAACATATTCTCATTGCATAAATCCTCTCAGAAGACATAAGGAAGAGGCAATAATTTGGAAAGTGTTAGAATCTAAGAAACTACAAAAAGAGAAGTTTGAATAATATATATCCCCAAGTTTGTATTCTTTTTGGAAATGGACAGAGAAAACTTCTTTTGTCCAGCATGGGAAAGCAAAGTTTTTGTAATGAGTTGGAATCTTCAGCCAACAACATATTGTAGGTTGGTTCTTGATGGATTCAGAACTTTTTAAAAAAATTTGAGGTAAGGATTAGAAAACAGGAAAGATATCTCTGGATAACGAAACTCAATGCCTCCCCAAAAGGAAAAAGCCAACTAGATTAACACAGGACCTTCAGGGGTGTGTGGGGGGGTAGGGGCAGACTCCATAGATCTGCCCCAGTTTTTGCTCTAGCACTTCCCAAGTGTAGCAAGGCAGGCTGAGCGCAACACAATAATCCCTTCCACCTTTCTCCCTTATTCCCTATCACAGTGTTCAGTGGCACTTGTCACATGTTGAATAAAGTGGAGCAAAGCGACAGTAACTGATGCAAATACTCTCTGACCCTCATCCAAAAATCCACTGATTCCAATTACTTGCCCTCCCATCCACCTGTTAATTATCCACATGAGTCACCCTTGTGGAAACACCTGCTGCCTTTTAGAAAAAGCAGCTGCCTCTAGGGTTGGATGCAGCTGACTCCCTGTGAAATGCAGGTGATGAGGTAACTTGCTAATTATAAAGGGTGAGATGAAGATTTCATCATGAGAGCCACCACCCACCCACCTTCATCTGCTGCTATCAATCTAGGAGCAGAAAGCTCTACCCCTCCCCAGGGCAATACAGATTAAATCCCTGGGGATCTGGTTACACACAATAGACCCCTTGCCACACTTACCTAAAGCTGCTATTCTGTATCTCAAACCGTTTGATAGGAAAAAGCACCATCTGCTACAGCTCCTCTCTGCTCCACCTCTGGGGCATCACCTGAAGCGCTTCCAATACAAATTGCAGCCTCTTACCTTTTGAGCATGATGCTTCTGGCTCTTCTGCATGGTAGAGCCTGGTTGCTATGCTCTCCCTGCCTACGTGTGTACTCTCCCTCTTCCACTTGTTCAAGAGATGTCTTCTTTCTCTCTGCACAATGGGAAGGGCAGAAAGCAGCATCCAAAACAATAAGGAGATCAATAAATATCCTCTTGGTTGTCTTTTCTGTCTCTTTACAGATTGCTGCTTCTTGACTGAGTGTAACTGGCACAGTGAGAAGAGATGTTAACACTCTCTAGAATAAAGCAAAATGAGAGAGAGTGTGTGAGAGAGAGCTGCTGGGAAGGACTAGGGAACAACACAAGCTGGCTAGCATACAGGTTTGCTTAGCATTAAATGGGTATTGCAGGTTGTCAAAAAGAAAGAGAGGCTAAGGGCAAATATTCATACACTCAAATCTATAGGAGAGAATATTTGTTGCTCTATGGGGTCCTTTGTTGCTCTATGAGCTTGGTTATTTCTTGTAGATGTTTCATTACCAAATTAGGTAATATCATCAGTGCTAGTAGGAAGTGGGGTTTGGTCTCATTTTATGTACTAGTGGCTTGCCCTGTTAGTGTTGATGGTAGTAGTCTTGGTGTTCCTTGACTGGGTTGTTGTTCACTGTTAGCTTGTTTATCTAAGTTGGTAGTTCCTTGATTGAGGTATTGTTTGCTTCTTGATTGTTTCCCAAATCAGAGGCCTTGTTTGTGTCATTCCAACCCTCTTCCATGGGTCAGAAGGTTTCCTCTTCAACCATTGGAAGGTGGATTAAGGCATGCATTGCCCGTGCCTATCTCTTTCAGTCCCTACCGGTCCCTAGATGCATCACTGCCCACTCCACTCGCAGTGCAGCTACATCAGCGGCCTGGTCTACCCAGGTGTCCATTGTGGAAATCTGCAGGGCTGAAACTTGGTCCTCTCCTTCATTCATCAGACATTACAAGCTAGACAAGTTTGCCTCTGCGGATGCTTCGTTTGGCCAAAGAGTGTTACAGGAAGTAGTTCCTTCTGGTGGGACACAAGCCCAGACTATTTCCCCCCCCCGTAGGGACATGAGCGGCTTTAGTATGTCCCACCGGTGGATTCTACACTCATCATGCTGGAGAAGGGGCGTTGTCTTACCTGAACGCCTTTTCTCAGCATGATGATGTAGATGTCAATGCTGCTAATATTGAATATTCTTGCTTTGACAATATATGCAGAACTGTCTGATATTTTTAGAGTTAAATCAGGTGACAGCAAAAGGGGAAAAGAATATAAGGAAAGCCCGGGAAAAGAAATGGAAGTGAATCTTTGCCCTCCAAGTTAATTGGAAGATGTGAATCATGACCCCAAAATAGGGGAGGGGAAATGCCTGGAATGTTATGTGCAAAGGAAGGGAAATTCAGATCTTAGCATTTCCACCATGCCATGCTGACATCTCTGTAATACTAATAAAGGCTTTTTAGGCTAAAAAAATGTCTGAAAGTTCTTTGAAGTGTTTCGTTAATCAGATACATGACAGTATTATCCACACTCACCCTTAAAGGCCGTCTGAGCCTGTGTCAGAGTAGGAGGAGCCAACGCGTCAGACTTTGTCATGTTTTGCTTCGCCTTGGTCAAAAACTGGGATGGTCCAGCCCAGAAGGAGGCATGGCAGATTTCTGACAGTCTCAACTGAGCAGGAAGGCTGAGATTACCTTACCTTTAGTCTTTTTTTATTGTCTCTTTGGAATGATATGCAGATGCTGTTTGTATCTATGCATCCTTAAACAAGGCAGCAAGAACAGGCACATAGAGATAAACAATATGTACACACTGCAATTCTACAACAATTGCAGGAATGTATGAGCTCTTAAACAGTGTACAATTTTTCGGTAGACCAAGTCCTTGAGATGTTTTTCAAGGTAAAATCTATCTTCCCACTGTCATTACAAATGGGTAGCATGAGAAACAGCTGTTAACAGTGAAAAGCCATTACAACATTTACCAGAGTTTGTAATTGTTTGTTTGGACTAGATTGCCTGCAAAATCCTATCAAATATTACTGATCACAATAGTAGAAAGGGAAATTCTGAACACTGCCAAAATTATTCATTAAAACTCATGAGGGGTATTGTGCCCTATTGGCTCCATCTATTCAGCAAAATTCTACACTCTCTTGGATACTGCAATCATCATGGATACTGCAATCATTGGCTCATTCAGCTTAGTTCCATCTGCATGAGTAGGAGTGACATAAACAAATGAGAGAAAGACAGAAGCTGGATGAATGCAAAAAAAAAAAACCTTAATAGTGTTGTTGTTGTTGTTAGTTGCAAAGTCATGTCTGACCCATCGCGACCCCATGGACAACGTTCCTCCAGACCTTCCTGTCCTCTACCATCTTCTGGAGTCCATTTAAGCTCACGCCTACTATTTCAGTGACTCCATCCAGCCACTTCATTCTTGTCGTCCCCTTCTTCTATTGCCCTCAATCTTTCTCATTATTAGGCCCTTCTCCAGTGAGTCCTTCCTTCTCATTAGGTGGCCAAAGTATTTGAGTTTCAACTTCAGGATCTGGCCTTCTAAAGAGCAGTCAGGGTTGATCTCCTCTAGGACTGACTGGTTTGAAAGCCTTGCAGTCCAAGGGACTCGCAGGAGTCTTCTCTAGCCCCATAGTTCAAAGGCCTCAATTCTTTGGCGCTCAGCCTTTCTTATGGTCCAACTTTCACATCCATACACTGCAACTGGGAAAACCATAGCCTTGACTATACGTACTTTTGTTGGCGGGGTGATGTCTCTGCTTTTTAGTATGCTATCTAGATTTGCCATAGCTTTCCTCCCCAGGAGCAAGCATTTTTTGATTTCTTGGCTGCAGTCCCCATCTGAGGTGATCTTGGAGCCTAGGAAAATAAAATCTGTCACTACTTCCACTACTTCCATTTACTCCTTAATAGTAAAATCAGTTTAATGAGAAATTTAAAATAATAACGTTTGGATCTCCAATTGAACACCATTTGCACTGACAAAATCATGATCAATCAATTGCAAACGACAGCTTTACCTGAAACAGCTTACACCCTGTGAGAATGTATGACACCATGAAACAACAGCATCTGACTGTACAGTTCTTTGAGAATTCAATGGATGGACAAAAATGCCAAATCCAGAGAAAAATGGACCAATTAGTGTGTAACTAACAATAATAGAACTATTGACCCAGCAATTTAATAGTCTCCCTTTGAATTGCAGTGGCTAGACCAGCATCTGACAAGATGCCCTAATCAGGATTCGTCCAATGAATAAGAAGTTGGATTTGGTGGCCTAAGTGGTCATTTCCAACTCTACAATTCTAGGACGGTTGCAATGATGCTTCATTCATCTGAGCAACCATTTTCCACTTAGGAACCTAACAATATCGTCTTTGTGGTCTGAGTGCTTTGCTTCATAATATGGCCCTAGTTTCTCACTTATGAGGGTTCTAGACTCTGCTATCCTAGATTATTCTATCCCCTTTTTAAAACTCTTCATTTACTGATTTCATAAAAATATTAATGAATCTGTTTAAGATCCATACTATCTAAAGTGTAGTGAGAGGGAAAATGCACAGCAAACCTGAAATGCAAATTTATTCATTAAGTTTAATTGGGTATAAAACTAGAAATATTCCCAGAAATAACAGTCCACTTGAAGCAGGACCTTACTGAAGAAACAAAGAACAAATACTTTTCTTAAGTCCTCTTAGTTTTCTTTCTGACTTGCATCTCTTCAAAAGTTCCATTTTAAGCTCTGCAATTTTCCTTCTGTCTTCCCACAAGATTGACAGGAATTCAGAATTTAAAGTTAAGTTGTGGTATCTTCTTGTTCTTCCTCAGTACTTGATATCTCTGCTCCCTCTACTGGCAAAAAGTGAAAAAAGCATGATTAGGACGATACTTGGATGAATCCTGTTCTCAAACATCCACTGGATGCTGGTAACCAGCTCATGACTGCACTTCTTTTTCAGAATAAATACATTTTACATACATTTTAAAATGCAACAAGCATACAAGACATCTAGCTGTTTACAAGGAAGGTTGACCCGAACACCTAGTTAAGTTTTAATTTGCAATGTCTCATCTCTTGATGTATCTTAGCAAGTAGCAGCACCTACCCAACCATGTTTGACTTTAAAGAACTACGAAGGGTTGAGCCAAGTTAGTATTTGGACAGAAGATAACCAGGAAATCACAAGATTATTGGTTTAACCTAGAAAGTCAAAAATCATCCTGGAAAATGGCAAACTTCTGTTTTTTACTCAAGAAAACAAGATTGAGAATGTGAAAAAAGGGGGTGTACTTGAGATGGGCTACTGAGCTCGCCCAGTGCTACTGGTAGCAAATGGATTTGGATACAATTCTTGGGAAACCTGACTGAAATTAAGATCCCCCTCAATACAGCACTTACTCAGTGAAGGAGGATGGTGTCTTAGTGTGAAAGTTGATAAGGTAGAATTCAGAAGGAATGTTGTAATAATAAAAATAGGAGTAGAAAACCAGTGATGAAGTTGTTCCTGGTTAATAAATGACAGAAAGAAATGACATCCTTTTCCAGATGCACAAAATGTACTTGATCCCAGGCAAGTTGGCATGTCTCAGCTAAGCTTTTGGAAGCTCAGACATACGGGAAGATGCTTTAAGGCAAAAGCACCTGATCCCATTTCAGGTTTTAGAGGAGATGGAGACTGAGGACTATTTTTATGGCTGCTTCTCATCACTGTGCACACAGGCTTTGCGGGAACCAAAAAGACCAGTCTGTCATTTCATGGACTTTTACCCTGCTAGGTAAACAAGCAAAGCCTGCTGGAGTTTCGGTTGGAAGTTCATCTTCTCAGAATATGGCAGGAGCAGCTTTGAAGCCAATGAATCCACATTTTCCTTGTTAGTTTTCTCAGATCTTCTCTTTTATATGCATTTAATATTTTGTTAGCTGTCAACCAGCACCCAGAATTTGATGGCCTTCCAGGTAAAATGACCTCCAGTGCCTAGAATTCCATACTGAATATTTCTCAACCTTAGCAGCTCTAAGATGTATAGACTTCATCTCCCAGAATTCCTTTGCCACCGAGGCTGGCTGAGGAATTCTGGGAGCTGACATCCACACATCTTGGAGCAGGTAAAGTTGAGAAACACTACCATACATTATGGTGTTGGCTGGAAATTCTGAAAGCTGATAGCCAATACATTTGG